TTTTTTTTTTAAGATTTTGAAAAATTGATGAAGAATGAAAGCAACAACGACAGAAAAGCACTGACATCTGTATTATTCATGAGTAGCTGATACTCATTAGAGCTCGTTTTGGCTCCTGAACAGACTGAGGAAATTCTCTGGCCAGAAAAAAAAAAAATCCTGGGTTCCGGCCATTTTTTTGGCAGCACATTCAAACTTTGAACATCCTGTTCAGCCTCAGCCCTAAAATGCATTATTGTGTTGCGAGCTGGAGGCTGTGCAGACTACAGGAGAGGAACGCTGTGACTCATATTTCTGGAGGTACTTTGAGACAACAGTTGCTGCATGACATGGCAGTCAAGGTGAACTGGGGTCCCTGAAGGCTGAGGCTGTTGTTCTGTCAGTGGTTTTTTTTTATACTTATATAAAAGTATTTTATGAAGCATCTGGGCTATAAACCACTTGTTATATTATTTACAGCGCAATGACTGTCATTGCCAATAATGAGGAATGACTTGAGTAAAAGCAGATGCTGTATAATTAAAGCATTTCAACACGATCTCTCTGGAAGGAATTCTATCCTTGTGATGTTTTGACTGCTCAGCTCAGTTTTGCTGTTTTAGCCGTGACACTGTCAGACTCTATTCTTCAGTTCAGCCTGACATTTTGTCTCTCTGCCACCTTACACTACGTTGCAATGCAAATGCAGCCTCAAATATTTATTGGACGATCATTGTCAGCTTTAGTCAGATTAGTTGTCAGGAATATTGAATATGAATATTCACCTGCATTATGATGTTATAGTAAGGATTTCATTTTATTGTCATTATTTAAATCACAAGTGTATCTTAATGCCAAGTGTCAAAATGATGATTTAAACAATATTTGACTTTAACAACTATGTTTTTTTTATTCTGCAGTTCTATTTAGGGAGACTTTACTTCACATGTAGCCTTGATACTGAAGGGTTTCATGCGACAGTCTTCAGTGTCATGGAAGTACTATATCTGGAGAAATTCTATAAAATATAAATCTTTTTAATGGCACTATTTAGCAATCTTTGCTATTAACTTCATGATATAAGATTACAATAAAAATTAAGACAAGCATGTGGGGGATTTATGTGCATAGTATAACTGCTTTCTTCATTATTTGGAAGTAGAAAAAAAGAGAATAAAATCTATATTTGCAGACAATTATTTATTATTTTATGCCAAAATGCATTCATGTATTTTACTTATTCATTTTATTATTATTCATATTAGCTTATTCAACAATGCCATTATTAGTTCATTGCTGCTGAGTCTGAACTCCTCATTCCAAGGATAAAATGCAATCTGCATTTTTAATCTGCCTTACAGCTGATTCAACCTGGAACATCATAAAAATCAATGTAAGAGTTGAATTATTCGTCTGTAATGTGCTTGGAGTTGCAAGTCAAACTGTATACAGTTGTCCTCAAATGTATTCATACTCTTCCATTAAAGAAAAGGCAAAATTCACAGTAGTCACTCAAATAACTAGAAACTGAAAAAGTAATAATAAATAAAAAAATTGCTAAATGATAATTTAGTGAAATAAGACAATGCTTTTGAATTGTGGTAGAAAAGAATAATTTAAAAAACAAACTGTCTTGGACAAATTAGAGCACTTTGCTGATGAGCAGTGGGCCAACATACCTGTCAACAGGTGCAGACGTCTGATGGAGAGTTACAGAAAACACTTGATTGCAGTGATTGGCTCAAAGGGTTGTTCAACAAAATACTAGTTCACAGGTCCCAAACATTGTGTGTTTGTGGTTTTTTTTGTGTTTATATATATATATACCTCAATTCAAAAGCAATGTCATAATTTTCAATACATTTTTATTTTTTATTATTTTTGTCAATTTTAACTTATTTCAATGACAACGTTTTTTTTCCTTCTTCAATGGGAGGGTATGAATACATTTAAAGATGACTGTATTTGTGTGTCTATTCATTTACAGAATACTGTCTCATTGTTGGCATTCGGCTGATTTAAATGTGACTGACGCTTTTAATGTTTTTTTTTGTTGTTGTTTTTTTAATTGACAACATAATCAAGCAAATAAATCACATGTGCTCATTAATTACACGGTTTAATACAGCTCATTAATCAGTGTGCTGTTTCTGAACATATAGACTCTGTGTGTTTCTAGAGTTTGTAGTTGAACACAGGATTAGAAAAACATCAGCCTGAGCGTATTGGAAACAAAGGAAGGTGTGGCGACAGTGAATCATCCAGAATAGACCTCAGACACATGGAAGACACACAACAGCAACCTCTAGTGGGTCACAGTTCACAGGCCACTGCTTCCAGGATGAATGGAGGTTTTAAAAACACTGAAGTAGGTGTTTGGTGTAAATGATATCTGAAGTCTCTCAGAATGAGTTTAAACAACCCCCATAATATACTGTAAATCAAACGCTGTACCAGTGGGGCATTATACTCAACAAGAAACTCTCTCTTACATTTTAAAATGTCTTAATTTCATCCTATATATTATTTTGCTTTTTTTTTTACTGAATAGCAGCAAAGGTATTATACTTTTCAATCCAAATTCACTGTGAAAAATGACATATAACCGATTTCACAGAGAACTTTTGCTTTACTCCATCAGTAAGTTGGTCCATACTTGCTTACACACACCTTACTGAAACATGCAAACAAATATGTGCATTATTCCACTCGTCACACTTTGATAAAAGAAGTAGATTATCTGCATTACTGGTTTCAAACATCTGCAAGTCTTCCAAAAGTCTGTTAGTTTTTGTAGCATCATCACAAATTAAAAGGGGAAATAAAGAAATTAGACCATACTGGACAAAATAATTAATTTGCAAAAATGCTTTCAATTCTTTTCATTCTGTTAGAATTTTATAATAAGATTAATTCAAATAATTATATCGATTCCATCAATGCAAAGTTCAACAATACTCGACGTGGCCACATACAGCATCAGTGTAACTTCTTAGAATAGCCAAATGTAATTCACAGAGGCAGCATCGTCCACAGGTGCAGCAGGGGAGTTGATTTCCTTTGCTGTTAACAAATAGCCATTGTCTGAGCTTTTTTTGTGGTACAAATAAATGAGGACAGTTGAGTCCTCCCCATGGCAGGCAGCCCTCCACTCCCTCAGCGAGGAGCACTGAGCCTTCCAGGAGTGCCAGAGCTGTCACAGAACCAAACTGCCTGCTGCAGCTGTCACAGAACTTCTGGTGGCAAAAGGCACACTGGGCATGTCAGGACTCAGATCTCAGTCTGAGGTTGGGAGGGTGGGGACAGGATAGGAGGAGGAGGAGGAGGAGGAGAGGAGGAGGAGGAGGAGTATCAGGGAGCAAGCAAGATTCCAGGACTGATCTTCTGGTGTATAAAAAGATACCACACTTCATCTGATCACACTATAAACACTACTTCCTGAGTTCTTAGACTTCTTTGCGCAGTGCTACGCGCACGCTGCTGAAAACTTTGCCCAGGGCTTCAAAGAATGGATCACAGAAGGTCTGGATGCAGAGAGAGTAGATGCGGCTGATGCACTGCGACTCAATCAGACAGCTCTTGATGCAGGGAACCACGGCCCAGATGTGGCAGAAGGAGATGCAGGCGAACAGGAAACCCCAGAGCAGAGCCACGGGGATGCCGAAGACAGCAGACAGGATGCGGTAGCACCAGTACTTGGACACAGTGAAGGTGGTGTAGCTGAGCTTCCACACTCCATCCAGGCTGTGTGTACCATCAGGCTCTGCAATGACATCCTCAAACTCCACCTGAAAGGAAATTTTAAAACGAAATTCATTAATATAGATCCATGCTTTCATCCACCTGCCTTCACCAGACCTCTGCTGGCTCCCAGTAGTACACACATGCCAACTTTATGTACAAACTTTATACTTTTCAGAGTGTTCAGGTGAAATTTATTCATAAAAACTAATTATGTGTTGTACTTTGTGTAGTGTCATACAGGCAAAGTTGTGGAGTGGCTTTTAATGCTGCATCCAAATCATTCTAAAGTCTCTATGCCAACACTTTTTTTAATCAACCAAAGTTAGCCTCATGCAACATTCATGAGAGCAACTGTGCAGTTGTCCAATTTGTTTCCTACATGTGCCACCTAGTCTTTTCGGAAAAGTTGGCTATTGCATTCTCAGCAGGCTCGGCAATGAAATGGTAATCTATTTGTCAGTAATCATAGCAGGCGGTCGCGCTGCACATCTAAAACCATCTCTTTGCTTCCAAACCACTGGATAGGATCAGTATGTGAAGTAACAAGCCTGTTTCCTGTAGACATATCAGACTGAGATCATCCTCTGAATGGATGGCTGGACATGTTTTAGATTTTTTCTAACTGGTCTAGGCATCTTGTAGCCATTAGAGGATGGCTAGAGTGAAATTCCACAAAACAAAAATCTGTTTTCTTCAGGGAAAAAAATAACAGATGGACATCCATGTGGGCCATAACTGCTAGATCTGATTCCACAGAAGATAAGATGCGTCTTAATGGATATGAATGACCCACTCTGTTTTATTGAAAAGGCAAAGAATTTGAAACATTTGAAGAAAATGATTGCATGGACTTTAAGTGTACGTGGTAATCCATCACTTATTATAACTCCTAATGGGAGTAACCTTAGAGTTTAAAGTAGCAACCATTCATCTTTATCAGAGTACACTTTTGGGAAAACCAACATGAGCCTCCTGTTAATCATTCAAAACTGAGCCATGCACACACGAAACATATGTTCGACTCGTGATTTACCATCTTTGACGGTGTTTACATTGACCATCTTCAGTCAAAGAAAATGTCATCTAAAAGCATACAAGGTTCTGTCATTTGGTAAAATATTTTGTGATGATGACATGGCAACAATCACAGGGTAAACAGTAACCTAAATAAATCACAGAGGCATGGTGTATCAGTTTCCAACTCTTCTGCCCCATTCCCAAAATAAACTTTGTGTTCTGCACAAGCAACAGGAATAGCTCATGGTCTATTTAGGGATTTTTTTTTCAGACAGTACAATAACCTGTTCTTCTTCTCTTTACTATCTCTCTTGGCTTCTTTCCCAGCATTCACTTTGTGCATTTCTTCCACATTTCCACTCATGCAAAGACAGTGGTTACATTCTTAAACCTTTTTACGACCGGGTGTTGTCTCCATGCTGCACAAACCTTCACCACGTCCTCATTGATCTGCTTGGGGTCTCTGTTAATTAGATCAATCTCTTTTGTGTGGCTGTCCTTCACAATCTTCTCCTCATTGGTGTTGTACTGGTACTGATCCGCCATGGTGGGGCCGCGGGTCCTGGACGGGTTGGACACAGTGAGGATAAACCTTCCTGGATCAAACTGCACGCAGCCGCCTCAGCTCGCTTCTGACCCGTGTATCACGACTGTGACGCTCCCCCTGACATGCCAGAGGACAGCTGCTGCAGACGTCCTGGTAAAAATGGAGGCCTAACTGCCACCCTGCTCACGCATAGGAACCAACACACACACACACACACACACACACTCAGAGAAAGTGCACACATGCACACAATGTATTGCACACAGACCGAAAAGGAATGCCTTAAAGGAGAACCCAGGGTTGTGTCACATTTCACATGGGCCTGTTGGGCTGATTGGGTTGGGTTTACACATTGGCACTAACTTCCACCACAGAGTGAGGCAGTGAGCGCAAACACACCCTTCGGTTTTAGTCGGAACACAGTGCGATGAAGATGAAACTTAATTTGGAAGGAAACTTTTTGTTGTGTTTGCAGGTCAACTGCACAACAGAGGAGATAAACGATTCTCTGCAATAACCACTTTGGAATTTGATTTGCATTAATAGAACAATTTATCAATTTACAGCATTCATTGTGCTTTTTTTTTTTTTTTTAACTGATGGCTGGGTTTTCTTTACCAACTTATTTCTTGTTAAATAGAGTTTCTACAGTTTTGCTAAATTAATTGTAGTCCTTGTTAAAAAGTTTTTCCAATATTGTTTGCAATTGTCAAAGTTTCACTACAAGTACAATGTACCACAATGCATATCAAAGCTCTGGGGACGCTAAAGGAAAATCAATTGTGTTACTGGAACAAAATTTTAAAAAATACTTCATTGTTATACTCTAATCAATATGTTTACTTTCATAATAGCAATCATAACAAAACCCCTTTTTATAACACTCTACCAACACAAAGCAGGTCCAAAGCCTCTTCAGATATTTCTGATTTTAGCGAGGGTGAATACATAAAATTCAATAGTCCCCCAGAAATAAAACTCTGCTTCAGTCTTTCTTAAGCTGTGCAGTTGTTGCTATCAATCATAGCTTTCTATATGAGCATCTTGCATAAACAAACTCATACGGTGGTGCTGCCAAAAATTAGCAGGGAAGAAGAGTTGGTGCAAAGATAGTCGCTGATGGAAAACGGTACAAAAAGCTGATAGCAACCTGGCATTTTTGGTTCCGGTTCCCAGGTGGCAGAGGCAGAGATGGGGAGGGAGAGGTTGAAGGATATCAGAGTGCATGGGATTAGGTGCCAAGCCAATTAGAGGAGTATTCTTGGCGTGGCAGTGGAGAGAGTGGAGGCCAGTTAGGCGTTGAGGCAGACAGACAGAAATAGCTCTGCAGAGAACCATGGTGGGCATACCTCCGTCTCTGTGAGTGTCAGTGCTGTTAGCTGAGACTGCGTTGGCTCTTGTCTTCCATTAAATGTAGACAGACATGCCGGTGCACTAAGACCTATATTTAGAGCCATATGGAATGTAATAAGTGGAGTAGGTATCACTAACTTAGCCTATTTTAATAATAGTGGTGATGCACCCGTTGTAATGAGCAGCGGTGCGTGTTACTTGATATGTATACAAAATATTCCCTACTACTGATCTAGACATTCATTCCTGATAGAAGTAAATACAGTTGAAACCAGAAGTTTGCATACACTGTATAAAAAAAAAAAAAACTTTTTTTTCCACTGTCTGACATTAAATCAGACTAAACTCGTCCTGTTTTAGCTCAGGTAGGATTACCGAAATTATTTGTATTTGCTAAATACCAGAAAAATGAGAGAGAGAGTTTTTTGTGGAATTTTTTATTACTTTCTTCAAAGTCACAAGTTTACATACAGTAAGATGACTATGCCTTCAAACTATTTGGGAAAGCCCAGATGATGATGTCATGGCTTTGGAAGCTTTTAATAGGTTAACTGACAATATTTGTGTTAATTGGAGGCACACCTGTGGATGTATTTTAAGGCACAATTCAAACACACTGCTTCCTTTTGTGAGTAATAAAAAATATTTGAAAATTCCCTAAAATTTCTCTTCTTTTCTCTCTTTTTCTGGAATTTAGCAAATAGAAACAATTTGGTGATCATTACTGACCTAACACAGTAAAAGTTTAGTCTGATTTAATGTCAGATAGGGAGAAAAAAAAGGTTATGTGTCTTTTTTCTTTTTTTTTTTTGTACACAGTGAATGCAAACTTCTGGTTTTAACTGTAGTTATACACATGTTTTAATTTTGGGTTTAATCCTCAAAGTTCTCGACAGTTACCTTGAAAAGTCCCTCAGTTGTGCATGATCACAATAACGAAACATGATTTTGTTACACCCTTTCTGAGTGATAGACATTTATGTCCTTCCTGTTCCATTCACTGTAACCGTCTTTTTTGTTTCTGTCACGTTTTTATTCACTGTACAGTTCATTTTTCAGCGTGATATAAAGTTCTGCATCTCTATGGAAACTGCACAACCAAAGCTGAAGGTACAGTGAACTCAAAAATATATTGTGCAGCATTACAAAGTATAATGCCAAGAATAATAATAATAATAACAACAACAAGAATAATAATAACAAATATTTGAGTCATTAATGGCTTCACAGATTTTGCAGAAACTAGTTAGTACCATATAAAAAAACAAAAAACAAAAAAAAATCAAGATATATAGAATAAAGGAAATATCTGTCTATATGTTTTTTGGTTAATCTTTCCTCATGGAACTACATGTCACACATAATACATCAAAAGACTGTCAGAAGGTTGAAAATCCTCTTTCATCTTTACGTCTTTTAGCTTGAAAACATTTTAGCAATCTTAAAAAAAAAAAAAAGAAAGAAAGAAAGAAAACATGCCTTTAAAACCTAGAAGC